TCTTTTAAAAAGAGGACTCAATCTAACAATCTATCCCACTTCACTTCTAAATAGCTAAACAAAGGTATTAATGCATGTAGCAGCTTTTGCAATGGCCTATATTTGAAACTAGGTAGAATTGAAGAATGTATCTGACTGTGTGAAGGAAAGTGATGCTGACACTCATCCATTTTTCTTGAATAAAAGCTGCTCTGGCTCAGTCACTATCCCAAACCATCTGTGGATAAGTGTTTATTTTTCAAAGGGCTTCTAGTCAGAATAATCCCTGCAGACACTGTCATGTGATGAAAAGGAGAAAACTGAGGCAAAAAGAGAAATGTAATTATCACCTATTTTGAGAGAATGGAAAATTGCTGACAACCGGAAATTTGTTTAGCCTAGGTCATGTGGATCCCAACAACCTACACTTAATAGTTTCTATATGAACATATATAAGGGATTGGTTATTTCGTTCCACAGTGAGGTGACCCAAACCAATTTTTAAAAAACTACTTCCCTAATATCTAAATGCTTCCTGGAGATCATCCAGTATTGAACTGTCCTAAGCCATTTGATACAAATGCCAAAATATGAAAAAGCTACAGTACCAAACATACCACTGCCCAGTTTAATATGACTCAAAGTTAGCACTTCTGTTAAAGTGACAATTAAATGTTGATTTATACCAAATTAAACCCTTGTATAAGAATAATAAAATTTGCCTTTACAGAGGAAGTCTCACTTATGTACTGAGGAATAATGTCAGGCTACCCAAGAGACCTAAGGTATGATATTATTTTTTTCTTCCAGCTTCTGATAGGCTTTTAACACAGCTCCAGAAACTTTTATAGTTACTTTGGGGGAACCTTAAACACAACCACCATTGTCACAAATACCATAAAGTGTTTCTAATTTAAATGTTTCCTAGAATTGGAAACAGTGGCGAATAACTAGACTACATAACAATCTCAAAAAAAACTACATCAGCATTGTTCATGTATATATCATCACCAAACTGTATGTTGTCTCTGGTCTTCAAAGCAGAAGTGGGCCCAATTCACAAAGAACCTAAGTGACCTCTTAGCCCCATTTCAAGAAGCACACATCTCAGTTTAAAAGCTGTCACCTGGTAAGAACTCTTCACATACAATTAACTCAGAGTAATTTTAAAACCAGTACAGTCAGTAACATTAAAGATTGGAATTATGAATGAGAATGACATTTATCCTATATTCACTGATTTGAAAAACAGTTCTTCCTTCACTCACTCTGTCCTTAATAGATGGAGAAACACAAGTAAAAGAGAACTTGCTAAGAAGACCTAATCTTAGTAGATGAGGAAACACAAATAAAAGAGAACCCGCTAAGAGGACTTACGTTTTGCCTGTGACATCCACATACTGTCCTGGACGAAAGTGAGCAGCATAAAGAGGAGTGCCTTTATGAAAAACAAAACAAAACAAATAATCAATATGAAATTTGTTAGCACAGAAACAACTTTATTAAACATAAACTACATCCGGGAAGCTTATCAGATTTCAAAACTGATAGGAGATTTCTCTCTGCAATTATAAACATTAGAAACATTCAAACAATGAAATTGTTCAACAAACATATCTTTTATTTTATTTTACTTTTTTTTTGAGACATAGTCTCGCTCTGTTGCTCAGGCTAGAGTGCCGTGGC